CATTATTCCCTGATGAGTTGGGAAGTAACCGAAAGGAAGTAAACTAAGGAAAACGTTCACTTTTGTATATAAGAGTAGGGCACAAGCGATAGATGTGTGAGATGAGCAAATCAGCAGTCACGATAGCTGGAGTGAATCAGACCGTCGCTGGGGTTGATACACTTCCTTCTAGAGGTGGAGGAAAAATAAAAGTTGGTACCATAGAATTTAGAATAATGGTCTTTCTTCTTGGGCATGCCCATTAGAGTGAAATGAGTATGAATAAAAGCGGTCTGAATTGGACGAGGCCTTGACGTGTACAAGGATGCCGACAAACGACGACTTGGTCGAAGAGGGCATTCAAGGACTGTTCAGAAAATCTTGTTCTGCTAAATTGAAAGAAGCACACTGTTGACATCTGTCTGAGGAACATGCTCACGGTTTCGTTTAAAGAAAATAATCCTAATAATTTTTTTNTTTTTTTAGATGTTCTAATTCATCAATATTTACACTGACATATGACAGCCGCTACTTCTAGCCGCTGTTTGTGGTAGGTGCAAACGTATTTTCCGTGATTATTGCCACAATACGCTCTTCACTCTGAAAATGCAAACGGTGGAGCCAGAATCCCTGCTCCCCTATAAACTGGCCACTCATGAACTGATCTACGCAGAATGTATGAGACCTCCCAGTGAATAAGAACGATTGCAAAAAGATGAGTGGATGAGACAATGATAGGACCACGTGGCTTTTCCGAGTTATCGTCGACTGTAAACAAAGAGAGCGTTGAGGGTTGAATAGACGGGTCTGGTCCCATCAACAAGCTACCCATCATGCTTTGATGCGTTTTCGACGTTGAACTCTGATGATCTGTACCGAATGTGAGCGATTATTGCGACAAGCAACAACACTGCAAGCAATCCAGTCGACGCCATGAAGATTAGTGTTATGGCTGAAACGAATGATACTGGCCAATACGAGTTTCTCTGGACATTTGTGCAGAAATATACAAGGTGACCCACATGAAGTGTGACGGGCAACAAAAAAATCAACTTATGGGCTTCTGGGCTGGAAGTGCGGTGATCTCTTGGGCGGAAAGGAATGCGATGAAAGTCAGCTGAACCTTTCGCAGGATTGGGCACCAGCCCACAGCGCAAAGAAGATGCTGCAATGTTGTGAAACCACGCTTCCGAGTTTTTGGGACGAAGCAGGTTTGACCTCAAATTCCCCAATCTCAATCCTTTGGATTTTGCTGTATGGACGATTCTGGAGCAAAAAGCCTGCGCCTCCAGACACAGGTCCTTGGGCCCTCCGAAAAAAAGCTCTCTTGTAGAAACGCGGGATGAAAGTGATCGCGCGCATTCTTGAAAACTTCCGAAAAAGGTTGGATGCTTGCATTAAAGCGAAAGGTGGTCATTCTGCATGCGAAGTGTGATATGTTGCTTACAATTTCGTAATGATAGTACAGGAGTAAATGATTCCTATTTGGTTTGATTTGTATAATTTTGAAGCTAGTTTTCTGCGTCACACTTCATGTGGGTCACCCTGTAAATGGCAAGGACTGGCGATGGCTAGGCCTATTCTAACCTATGGATCAGATTATTTTGTCCTCCGAAAGTATAATTCCAATTGCTGACCCCATAGAGATGGAGAGATTGGATGGCCCGCGAGGGTTCCAGTCCGTGAAGCACTCCTCAGATTATGTAAGTGGTTATGGCGAAATTCCCAACAAACCCTTTTCTTCGAGGATATCAAATTCAACAAAGTCTTATACTCACGTTGAAGCCCACTAGGAAAATCGCTTTCATCACCACCATCCTGAAAGAGAAACTTTTGCATCAAGAAGTCCATCAATTTTGAGTACTCACCTCACAGAGACTTTGTGCGGTATCAATGCCGAAAATTTCCGAAGCTTTAGTTATGACGTCAGTGCATCCATCCAATCCTCGACAATTCATTCTACTCGTTATTAAGTCTATGAACTCATTGTTAGTGCTTCCGCGACGATAGGAGACCTTAATACTATTAAGTCCGAGTGTGGATGGCAAAAAGCGCAAATTTGAGATATTATGCATGTCAGTGAACTCACGCAGCCCATACCAACAGGCATAATACAGCACTACTCATGATGCTTCCATAACTGTTCTATGGGTATGGGTACATACGTGCGTCCGAGGATGCGCGCGGCAAATTGCGCGGCGAAGTTCGTGGCGATTCGAACAACTCTGGCGCCTATTCTCGGGGTACAAACTTGAAGTAGAGTAGATTAGAAGGATCGTCTGACCCTATGAAACTAGTCTACTTCACGTTTGTGCCAAAATAATATGCGCCAGGATCGGTCGAATCGCCACGCACTTCGCCGCATAGTTTGCCGCGCGCATCTTCGGACGCACTTAGGCTCCGTCCCCCTGTTCTAAATATAAAGGATAAAGGATAAAGTTTTTGGCGTTAATCAATCCCGTCTGAGGGATGCGCCCCCGCACTCGACTTCCATTCAGAATCGTAGTGGCGTAATGAGTGCGTATGTGGCCTATACAATGACTTGCGGTGGCCAGCCGATGTACAAGTCAGTGCTTTTATCCTCCCAGACGAGTCTGGTACCAATTCACCGACCCCGGAGGGATGGAAGGCTTGGTTGGCCTGGGCGGGCATCGATCAGGGATTCGAACCCCTGACCGTGCGTGTGATATAGTGCGCCACTTGCNTCGCCACGCACTTCGCCGCATAGTTTGCCGCGCGCATCTTCGGACGCACTTAGGCTCCGTCCCCCTGTTCTAAATATAAAGGATAAAGGATAAAGTTTTTGGCGTTAATCAATCCCGTCTGAGGGATGCGCCCCCGCACTCGACTTCCATTCAGAATCGTAGTGGCGTAATGAGTGCGTATGTGGCCTATACAATGACTTGCGGTGGCCAGCCGATGTACAAGTCAGTGCTTTTATCCTCCCAGACGAGTCTGGTACCAATTCACCGACCCCGGAGGGATGGAAGGCTTGGTTGGCCTGGGCGGGCATCGATCAGGGATTCGAACCCCTGACCGTGCGTGTGATATAGTGCGCCACTTGCCACTACACCACCTCCGCCCTCTGTTCTAAATATATACATATGAATATATTGCCTCCGATGCAGAAATTCGGCAGCCCCTGGTGAGACTTGCTGTTCTATTGGAACTTACGTACTTCAGTACTCCCAATGGTCAGTTGCAGTCTCGAGCCGGCAGTTTGAGACAGCTTTCTATCGCCATTTCTTGTACAACTCATCTCTGCGAGTGACAGGGCAACTTCGTCACGCACGTTCTCTACCATTATTGATAGCGTTATTTATCTGGTAGTTTGAACAATTTCGGTCCGAAGTTTCTCAGTTACAAACGCCTCAGTAATTACAAATTAGTCATAGAAATGGTCAATCTAAACATACAGGTTTTTGTCATCGTTTTAGGCCTGGAAAGTTTGAATAAGGTTAGTCCGACGAGTTCCCTTTTTTAGGCCAGATGTTGCGAGTATTTGTTTTTGTTTTTGCGACTCAAAAGTAGAGAACAGAGAAATTTCACAGGATTCTGAGGGTGTGCTCTTCTCGTCTTATAAGAAATAAAGTTCCTAACCCTATGTAGTAATAGCGAGGAACAGTATTCTTATGGAGCTTTGCACCTTCGACATGCGAACCTGGCTCGACATCAAATACAACGTAAAAGTTTTCTCAAAGGGCGAGAATAGTGCTGCATTCTATACTGAATGGTTAGTTGTGTTAGATCAAATATTCTTTCAAACCAGATGCTTTGCGGCTGCCAATTTTAAAGTTCCAAAGACTTGAATAGTGTAGACGTGAGCAAACCTTGACGTAGTGGTCCGATTTATTTCTCCATACTTCCAGTGTGATGGCTGCTGTGAAGTCCGGTCTTCCTTGAGGAGCGAGCGCTTCCTTCAGTATTCCCAATGAATCCAACAGCGCAGATATCGTGGCATCGTGCTGCGAATACGTTCAGAAATCACAACCTAATCGAGAATTCAAAGAAGAATGATCATATGAGCGTTACATAGCACATCAGTCCTTTTAACCAGTATGTGGTCGAAGCTGCAGCGCAATCTCCCTCTCTCGGTATTTTAGTTGTGACATGTTACTATAAGAAGCAAAGATCGCTATCCTTGTATGGAGCTACGTTGTCCAAAAAGGTAGCTTTTGCGAAACAGAAACAACCAGCATGTCGATTACGCGCTTTCTTTTTCTTCGCTTTAGCATTAGTCAATGATAAGCCCAGTAACAAAATAAGGTATGCTGTGATATTACAAACCATTACTTTGATTCTCTAGCAGTAAGTAGCAAAGACAAGTCGTAACATTTCACGAGAATTTTGTTACCGTAGAGAATGCGAAGAACTTGACTCCTCCAAGGGTCTGCTCCACAGCTTTTCTTTGGTTCCTTAAGATAGTAGATAACAGCTTGCCAGATCGCGTTAAAATCCAATTGCGATTATGAAATGTAGCAGTTCCCGATAGGAACTCAATAGTCTGGAAGAATCATTTTTGTTTTTCGCCTTAATTACCATACTGACGTTTAAAGTAAACTTGCACCCTTAGCAGTAAAAAACCGTCGACAAAGGCTTCTAATTAGTCAGTCGTTTGCAAGGATAAAAGTACTTCTACTTTTGACTCTAGGAAGGCGTAGCACGTCTAGGGGTCCAGGTTGTGTTCAAAGCGTAAGAACTCAATGAAAAAGTTGTGTGCTCTTATGTTTCAGCGCTTAACAGACTAATCCCAAAAAACTACATGCAGAAGAAATGTATGCTTTATGAATCATAGTGGTCTTGAGAAAATTTGATCAGAGCTTCAAAACCACTTCACTGTTGATTAGTCAACGCTAGTTTGAAGTTCTCCGGTATAAGTACAGCCACCATGTGGTGTAGTATGCAATACAGCACCATGATACCACAGCTTAAGGTGGGTGAGGCTCCAGAATCCTTTGTCTTTATGGTGAATATTTGTGTTCAAAAGGGTTTTTGCCTTTCATGTTTAAGATAAGCATTTCTTAACTGACCAAGTCGAGTAAATGATCCGCTTCTTTCCTCGCCTCATCATCGAACCACTGCGGTACAGGGAGGCCAGCATCTTGCTGTAATATGGAAATTGGGACACCGTCAAAGAAAAGTTTCCAATTTTATATTATATAATGCGTTAGCATAGCAAGCTATTATGACTCTACGACATGAGTTCAGCGCATACAGCAAACAGTACTTTCCATTTATTAGGCTCAAATGCTTTGTCAAATGCTTTAGGCCATAGGCCTTGGGTAGGGAGGAGGTAGTGCAGGGGCAGGTGATGGATGTTCTTCATACACGCATGTTCACGGGTTCAAATTTAGGTCAACCATGCCTTTCATCCTCTATGTCCGTGGTTTGGTACCAAACTCGTTTAGGAGGATGAAAGCACTGGCTTGTACCTCGGCTGGCCACCCCAAGTCATTATATAGGTCACATACGCATTTAATACGCCTTTAAGATTCTGAATTGAAGTCGAATACGTGAGTGCATCCCTCTAACGGGATTGATTTACGCCCCAAGCAGTTAAGACTCCCGTCCATGAGTACTGACATCAAATTCTGCGAATATTTCAAACCTTCGACTGGTGCGGGCCAGCAGCGAATGGCTGGGCGCTAATTATAAGCATACTTTCAAGCACAAGTCTGTTAAGAGAAGCCATTTGAGCAAGATGTACCTTTTACAACTTTGCTTTCTGTACATGAGGCGGAAGAATTTTTGTTAACACAAACGTATTTTCTAGGCCCTCTCTGCAAAACCAGTTTTTGTCTCCGAGGAAAGAGCACGACCTTCGCCTTGCTAATTCAAGTGAGTCCGACTAGAAACTTTGAGCCTAACATATGCGATTATCGTATTAAGCGGGACTCGGATTTAGTTTTCTATGAAAATCCGCGTATCGGCAAATGTTCAAGAAGACGTCTGCTTAGAATTTCAGGTGAATAGTGGTAAATCAGATCAATAGTGCAAAAGCCCTTTTCGGTCGAAAGCGCCACTTGCTCGCAAGTTGACTTCATCCAGATGCACTCACAACAGAGAATCTAACGTTATAGCCCTCAATGTAGGCACACTTCTGAACCTTTACCCGAAAAACTCAGCCTGTAATGAATACATAGGAACCAGATTTTCGAACCCTATTAGAGGCCTTGATTTTCAGCAAAGAACCCAAAGTGTCGTTATCTCTCATCTCCCGAGGTGGTGTGGTGGCAAATGGCTCACTCCACACAGCCATGGTCAGTGGTTCGAATCCTGAATTGATATCCGCCGCGGCCAAACAAGTCTTCCATCCCTCCGGGGTCTAATAACTGGTATCAGACTCGTCTGGGACGATAAAAGGACTGACTTGAACATTGGCTGGCCACCTGCAAGTCATTGTATAGGCCACATACGCATTCAATACGCCACTACGATTCTGAATGGAAGTCGAATGCGAGGGCGTATCCCTCAGACGGGATTGATCAACGCCCAAGATTTGAGACTTTATGTGACGTAGATCTCCGACTGAGGGTCCGCTAGTTTGATAAATATTAGGTTGAGTAAAAAGTTTTGATCGGTTTTTCATCTTCATTTCAAAAAGTTTCATTTTCATTAAAAGAGGATCTCAATTGGTAATATAGTCTCCAGAGTAGTCCACAACATATGTCCAGCGATCCACCAGTTTTTTGATTCCGTAAGCCCAGAACTGTGGCGGCCGCGATTCGAAAAAGCTGGAAATCTAAGTTTCGAGTTCCGAGCGATTATCAAATTTTCTATCGCGAAGATGATGCTTTGAAGCAAGAAAAATATGGTAATCGGACGGAGCAAGATCTGGCAAATAAGAAGGATGGGGCAGCACTTCCCATCCAAGTTCGGCAATTTTCTGACGAGACAATTTCTCCACATGCGGTCGAGCGTTGTCATGAAGACGACAAACATTTCTTCGCTGCGGACGCTTCCTTCAAATGACGTCGGCCTCACTTTGTAGCTGAGAAGCGTGAATTTCGGCGGTTACGGTGGTACCCTCAGGCAGTAATTCGAAATAGAGCATGACTTGGGAATCCCACCAACAACATAGCAAAACCTTCCTCTGATGTTGTTCATTTCTCGGCTGTCTTGGAGGTGGTTCTTCATTAGGCATCCATTGGCGATGTCGCGTATGGTTCACATGAAGGACCCAGCTCTCGTCCCCAGTAATGATCTCCCGGAGAAGTCTCTCCTAAGTTGACGAAGAAGCAAAGAAGGTCACGCACTGACCCATGATGCTTTGTCCGAGTCGCTCAAACCATGGGGCACCCATCTTGAGTGTATATCTCCGTAGCCGAGGCCATGGAGATGGTTGACGATAGTCTTCTGACTGCACCCGAGTGCCGTAGACAAATCGCGAGTAGTAGCATTTGGCCTCTCCATTGAAGCAGTGCGCAAAGTTCCGTCATTCAAAACAGGAGGACGTCCAGTACGACGTTGACCTTCGAACAAAATATTGTCCGAACGAATTTGCTGATACCAAGGATGTACCTTGGGTTGAGACACGATGCCTTTTCTGAATGCACAACAGATATTTGCGACAGCCGACGATGGATTTTGGCCTTGCAGAAATTCCTGAAAGATGATAGCTCTCAGACAGCTTCGGTTGACAAGGGTCATTATTGCGAAATATTTGCAAGGACATGCTCATATATGCCCCTACAGTGCAGGTCGGACACCATCTACCATAACCTATTACGAAATCCTTCCAAGTGGTCCTACGAAAAAATCAAGAGAAGGATGAAAATTCCGATCAAAACTTTTTACTCAACCTAATAAAAAAGAGATGAAAGGGAAGATAAGAGTTAAATAAAAGTTCTCGCGTGAGCGTTCTATAATATTTGAAAAAATATCTTGTACCTCCAGAAATAACGGTTCGAACAAGTGCAGCCGATCGCCAATTACACGTGTGTAATTCAAACGCTCCGACTCCTGTTTGAACAATTCCAGCAGTAGATCATTCTGCAACCGTGGAAATGTAGGTTTTAAAATAAAATCGGATTGGATTCTAAGTGCAAACGACAAAATCGTACTAGAGAAGGTACAGTCTCTGAGAATCCCAACACTTCCGCCATCTCTCGCAGAACAAATGGGCATTGGAGCCGAGGAACGCAAACCTGAAGGTAAATTGACTTCCTTCGACCTTATCAATATCACAACAGCGCTTACGTAATCATCCTCCTTGGGAACAGTGAATATAGGTACGACAGTTGGTTGCCCGCTTGCGGTAAGATTAAACATAGCAGATGCAGCGGCGGACGCCGTCATCAGGCACCGTTCTGAAGAGCTGCTCCTGAACACCACCTGCAAACAGACCACTTTGCCGTCTTTCCACGTCTTGAACATTGTTAACCTCGTCCCTATGTTGATTGTATTATAAAAAAACGTTCTCATAACTAAAGTGTCCACCCTATAGTTATTTTACGATGGGATTAACTTTTCCAAAATCCCGTATGCTTCGTTCTATCAATAGTAGGCATACTTCGAGTTCATAGCGCTTACATAAAGAGAGATGAAACATCTTACTTATTAGAGAACATATTTCGACATTAATGTTGGTCAAAAATTCACCTCAGAGGGGAGGTATCGCGCATTCAGAAAGCCGTTGTCAACATAACGCCGTCGTAGGTCCAGTCCCAACTGATGAGCTTGCTCGAGTCCTTTCTGGAAGAAATTATAGACTATATAAACAAATTGGGTCAAAGCAAGCTGGCACATGCTTTACAACAAAGTATGCTTGTCAACAAGTCTGGGAATTTTTGACTTTCCGTTAGATTGGCAAACCTCAACGACCTCCCTATCGTCTTCTATGTAACGATCCCTATCAATATCTCGTAGTGCCACTGTCTGAGACGACTCCATAACCCAACCTACGCCCCCTAAAGGTGCGGGACCAAGCGGAACCCACAATAAATGGCTTCAGTAAATGGCAGAGGTTAATTTGTTACATAAAGTATCACTTATTACTATTCTGTATTATTATAGCGGTGACGAACCTCTAACCCCTACTTGCTGTCGGACATTCAGTCCAATACAACTGGAACTTAAAAAAGTCGCCAAACCACATTTTTTGATGCCCTGGCCTGAATAAGATTAAAGTTCAGTACAATCGGACGAGGATCTGGATGTTGAGTTTAATTGAAACACTGCTTAACTTGCTCCTGCGCAAAACCAGACAAGTTCGCAGCTAGTTTCAAAGACTGCTACTGGGAACCTGTGTGATTTTGAGATACAGATGAAAAGATGCTATCTTTCTGGCATTTTGGCACACAAAATCGTCCTTGGGAATGGAAAAAAAATGGAATACCGAAGTCTGTACCATATCGGGCATAGAAGACCGCGAATCTTCTAGACGTTTTTTTTCGCAGTATGGATAAGACAACTTTTCGAACGGCTTTACTTCACGAGTTCAAGCTTGGTCGAACTGCAAAGAGGAAGCCCCAATCATCATTGTTGCGTGGGATGTAAGCACTCCATTGTAGCAAATGCTTTGCCACTGGTTCCAGAAGTTTAGAAATGGAGAACAGCCACTGGAAGAAGAAGAGCAAGTTGGTCGATCATCGTTCGTCGATCGCGATACTTTGCTAAGAGCGTCGGAGAAAATCGATGTAATCCTTCGGGAGAGCTTGCCACCAGTGGAGGAGGCTCTTTGGTGGTCTGGGCGATTGAACTCCAGCCTTGTCAGCTTGTGGCGAGTACTGAGACGAGTGGCCTTTTTCATCGTCTCTCATGTGATATACTCATCAGAGCCGATAGAGCGCCAAACGGTCGTACGCGAGACTGATAAACCCATCTGAGCTCGGATGTGACTCACAGACAAAGAAGTAATCGTCACAAGGCGGGCTATTCTCCTGTTGTCCCGAGCAGTCAGAATACGTGGACGGCCAGGAATAGGTTATGAGCGATAGCTGCCAGGGTCTCGAATGAATCTAGCAATGCATGAAAAAGAGCAGCTCAGTTGCCGGTTCAAAAGTATGTGCACACTCAAATTTTTCATTCCAAAGTTACCTAAGGAACCTACCGTAACGAAACCATTCTCAAACGACTTCTCGTAGTCGATAGCCTTTAGTGGAATTTTGGAGGCCCTGTTGATTTCTGATCTCGGTTATATTTTTGTTTTTTGCTAAGTGTGCACATAGTTTTGAAATAAAGAAAAAATTTTCTTTAATAAAAATTGTGTTAGCAAATACGATGTTTTCTCAGAGAGGGTGATCGAAGGTTATCGCACACAAGGATTTGAATGGTGAAGGTCACAGGTTACAGAAAGCAATGGTATTCCCAAAAAAAAACAAAATGTTAGGTGTGCACATACTTTTGAAACACACTGTACTTTTGCACGACAATGCGCCGTCGCATGTGTCACAAATCGAGTTCCAGCAGATGAACGAGCAGCAGATCGGAACTCTGCCTCATCCACCCTACTCATCAGACCTGTCACCACCTGGCTCCCATTCAAACATCTGCGCAATTTTTTAAAGATCGAGTATTCGAAAATCGAAGCGACGAGAAATGTGCTTTCTCGAATTCTCAGAATCCAAGTCTTTTTTGTATAAAAGGAGTAGCAAACTGTGTCACGCTGACAAAACTGCGTGGAATCGATTGTGACTTAGTTTGAATGAAAATGTTCACTTTATCATGAGTCACGATTTTTTGAAAAATAGCTCTTAAAACGACATAAACTTTCCTTACAACCTACACTTGACATTCACCAAAGTAACATGGATCATTATCGTTTCCGAAGACTTCCATTTGGAGTAACAACGTTTACAAGTGCACTCAACATTACACGCGGTCCTACTTCTGTATTCATGCTTCTTCTCAAGCAGGTGATGCGCAAATCATCTTCGTATAGATAACATTATACTGATGATTGATATTATAGCAGGAGCACTAACTGACTGAATATCGCTAAACAAAGGAGTAGCTCGTTAAAACTGAAATAAACCCACTAGAAAAAAATTTCGAATACGTAAGAGGTTAACTCAGCAACCTTCAAAGAAGACGGATCAAAGACAGCCGCTTAAAAGTGTTCGGTAAATTGTAGCACAGATTCAGATACAGTTTTCAATTCTCAGACAGACTCTTTGAAAAGGAACAAGCCTAATAACTTTTTTCATTACCCAATATGACTAGCGGACCCTTCATTAGTTCAGTTATAGTCAATGATGAGAGAGGCTCTCGATCAAGAAGTTGGGAAGCCCTTCTTGACTTGGTAACTGCCATAGTTGGAACTGAGGTACCTCGACCTCTTCATCTAATGATCTCAAACCATTTCAAGATCATTTTCATTAAATTTCATTTTAAGATCAAATGCTCTCTAAGACTCCGATAGGATAATGACCTCCTGGATAACGGAGGATCGTTTTTTAAATGATCCATTGATGCTTTGTCCATCAAATTGGTTTGTAAATTTCGAAAGCATAGACTACAACAACTAACATCAGTGAGTTGTTCCTTTCCTCTGAAGTAGTAGATCTCTGACTCCTTGGAAGTACTACCACCCATTGGAGCGCGATCGCCATGTCGGAACACCTTAATGAGTTGATTTACTGTCGATCAAATCTCACTACTCGTCTCGAGGTGAGGAAAGATTTTATACTGTGATTCTGCTCTTTATCAACACATTATCATTTTTACAAACGAAATGGTATACAACGAATTCAAGCTCATATGCTCAGCGGTCCCTATCTCTATGGAACTGAAAAAAGACCCCGCTTCAATTTCGGTCTAAGCGCACCGTAAACACCGTTGTTCTATAACTTGGGGTGATCGAACAGTTGAACATCTTTATGAAGCCTTCTTCCTACGCAGTTTCATCCTATGAGTTGGATCAACTTCCTGCAACTGTTACCGGTAAGCCGGGAGAGCTCCGCGTTGATGTAGTTCTCCCTACAAGATGATATCTATGGCACAGTTTGACTTTGAAAAGCGGCATCGCTGATTCAAGGGGTCTTTATCCTTCTACCCTGAGCGAACTTGCCGTCAATCTCATATAGAATTTATTGGAGCAAGTGGCTAATGCTTGCGCTCGGTAAGATTGTAGAGCTCTTCTGCACACTCCCATATAAGAAGATGAACACTGTAGATGAAGGGATGAAGTCTGTACACTAGAGAAAATCTTACCGTTTGGACAAGAATGAGTTCATCACACACGACCCCCACCAACGTTGACATACAAAAGAGGAGCCAACACATCTGTAAGTGCCCATAACCTGATAAAAAGAACGATTTGATCAAAATTAGATCAAGATACTGTCAAATCAACATAAGTCCGTTCAAGAGTAATTATTCATTAACCTTCTAAAATTAATTGGCAGATTATTCTTGATTAACGTATACTGTTTTCTTCTTGTGGCCAGGGCGTGTCAATTTGACGTATTAATAAACAAATAAAAAATGAACAATGATTCATCATAATTTACAAGCTGGAAGTGATGAGAGAGTACCTTTCCTAACAACAAATCTCCTTTGTGTTCCTTGGACGATTCTTGACGGGGAACTAGCACAGCCTGACTAATCGGTTGTAGTCGAGGGAAGCCTTCACGCAAATTTCAAGAGAAAGAAATTTTCAAAAAAAGTGACCATCAACAACTGAAAGGAAGCTTTTTTTGGAGCCCCTCGATTGAAACACGTTTGTTTGATGTTATATTGGAAGTTTTAAAGAACATATCATCTAACAAAACCAATTCTTTCAGAGACCTGAAACGTTGACAGGACCACGGCCGCCGTTCCACAAATGATTTGCAACTCTCAGAGTGAAACAACCCAAACAGAATTGTATTTGAATATTTCCAGATTATTTCTAGTTTGAACTAGTCCAAACACAGACTGTTTGGTCAACTACAAAGCCCCTTGTTTCGACGATGAGGCATGTTTTCAGTCGTCCAACACCATTCTATTACATCGGCCAAAAACACCTTGTAATTAAGATAAGTTCTACAGTAGCGCTCAAAAGTCTAAGGCCAAATGCTTCTTCAGCCGCATTTTTCAGTCGCAATTCCTTCCCTAGGGGATCTAATCATGCGAAGTTTCGATGTGTGTAAAGCATGAACGTATTGTGGATATTTACCACTGTTAACCTACAATCTGATCATGATCCAAATATGCTGAAGGGTTTGAACTCAAAATCATCCGAAAATACTAATGATGGCCCTCTGAAACGTTTTTCCTTTTTGCGATGTCTTAAGTGTACGAGCGCTAATGCCGAACACTGTAGAGGAGAAAAACGCTCATAAGGTGCGAATAAGTGCAGACGTTATAACTTTGATTTTAGCGAACTTTGCTACCACAAAAACACCTTGCCAACCAAATAGCGTTGGATAATGGGAAATATGCTTCAGTTAAATATATCAAAATTTCGCGAAATTTGCTCCATTAAAAGAAAAGCTATGAGAAAAAGCGTAAAAGAGTTTGGCCGAAGACCTTTGAGCGCCACTGAAAATAGCTAGTCAAAATCGATATAACATGCCTCGTCGAAATAAGGAGCCTTGCAGTTGACCAAACAGTCAGTGTTTAGATTAGCTAGAATTAGAAATAATCTGAAAATATTCAAATACAACTCTGCCTGCGCTGCTTCACTTTGAGAGTTGCAGGTCATAAGATGTATTGTGCGCGATTCGCATGGACCTTCTCATCGCAGCCGATGCTCTATTTTTGAATATTTTTATATTTGCATAAATTTGATACAACAGATTTGACGACTCTGTTCCAATTTCTGTAGAAATTTAGGTACGTAAGAGCTCGCGTCTTTTGCCAGCCCTCGTAGGCAATCTCCTGCTCCACAAGTCGCTGGACCTTATCGTTTCAGGACCATGATTCCTTCTTCCCTCAGAATCCATCTTGAGTGTACCCATGCTTTTCTTTGCAAACCGATTGGTTTCTTTCACAACACTGCTCCAGGTCTGCTGCATTGGTCCTTCGATTCTCTTTTTGCGAAGAAGCTACCCAATTCTTGGTCTATGAAGAGGTCAAGGACTTTTTTTTCCTTTTTTGTATCTGTCTCCTATTCCTCCACCTCCTAAATTCTCTCTAGAGACCCCTTCCCTTCACTGTTATCGTGGCCATTCACACAAGATGGTGAAGGTAGCCCCCTTGTTAACTAATCTGGTGTCAAGTCTCAGATAGTTCTTTTCGCACCCAGTGCAGCCAGCTTGTGTTAAATACACAGACCTTATTGCCCATTTCGTGCTTATGCTCACAGCCATGAGTCGACTGTGATTCTACTGAGAGCGAAGACAGTCCTTGACTGTCTTCGCTGCTATGGCTACCCCAATTCCATCACTTTCTTCTCCGTTCCCACTGTCTTCAACTTTTCTGGCCTTCACTTTCTTTTAATGTGTCCCTTAAGGCATAGGACTTGACCTGCTCCTGCGTTTCATCCAATTATTAGCCTTTTAGAGATTCCTAGTAATCGTTCGGACGGTTAGAGTCCCAACTCAAACTAACCTCTTTGACCGAACATTCCTCGCTAGCCCTCGCACACAAAAGACGGCGAAGTCCTGTACGCTATTTCTGGGTACCAGCATTATCACCGGTCCTTTTAGAGACCTTGAATATGGCCCAATAACTAAGTTTTTCCAGCGGTCGACCTGTCCATCTGGCTGACTGACTCTATTTTTGCACTTTTTTCGTAAAGCATGGTATTCGTCTTGACAAGGAACTAACTCTTGCTCTTTCTGCTCTTAGCTACAGACATGACCCTACACTCTCAAACACTCGATCATCGCTCCCTAGAGCTCACATCACGGATATAATCGCTAGCTAGTTCGGTCTTCAATTTAGATAGCTTCACGTAAGGGAGCTGGCGTAGTGGCAAGCAAGCATTATTAGACAAGCAGGTCGGGTCATTTAAATGAAACAGACTGGTCTGGGAGTGTAAAAACACTGACTTCTTCTCGGCTGGCCACTTGTGGGTGTCAGGCAGGAAAAGTCGAGTGGTTGAGAAAATGGGCGTTAGTTCACATATGCATTCTAACGCTATAACGATTATGAGTCGGAGTACTATGTAGGACGCATCCCAAAACAAGATTACTAAAATCGAACGGTTTCTCCTCTTTTCAATTCTGTATAAGAGAAATGAGGCACGCGTATAAGGCACCTAGAGCTTGAGGTGGGCAGATTCTAGACTTCACTTCCTATAGGACAGGCGTGAGAGAAAAGGCATCTTATGTATCATCAGACGTTGTTATGGTGGGTTACCAACGTATCAACCTGCCCCTCCCAACTACACGCATGAGAAGCATTTCAATTGATCAGCAACAGTGACCGTAATGTCAGTATCGTCGTAGAAAGCGAAAAAGAAAAGTGTCATGGTCAGTATAAGAACAGGAACCCGCGAAGAAAACTGCTCATTTCCCAAGTGGTCATTACGAAATGATGGTGAGTTATGAAGATTGGGTGCGAAGTTTCGGCAAAGAGTAAGACAGGAACATTCATTCAAATTCTACCGTATTCTCATAAACTAGAAGTTCTTCCTTCCATAAGAGGAAACATTATGATCAGATGTAGACCAGAAGAATCAGTTTCAGAATCAAAGAAATGAATTTCCAGAATCAGAAGTAGACTGATTCAGGAAAAAGTTATGACACTTTTTGACAACTACATATGACATCGATCGAATGAATAAATTCAGATTGTAGGAGTAGATTAGATTAGTTTACAGGAGTAGATAAGCAAGGTGTAGAATGCAAAAAAGACATTTATGACGTCCACAAACCCTCTACTCGGCAGTAAAGAGAAAAGTTGCCAGCATAGTCAATTAAGGTTACTGCACAATGCAACAACGTACTGAAACATGAGCCGATTTTATTTATTTATTTATTTTGACTCCGTAAGGCGGCACAATTCGATGCAAAGATTCGTTCGAAGTGTAATCCGAAGCTCAACATCAGCTCATGAACACCAGTGAATTAGGTCTCGAACGACTTAAACTCATCTCTTGACCGCTATGAATTTCAAATGACCTTCTATCCGACTTTTGGATGAATAAACGCTGCAGAACAAATTATATCACACTTCAGCCTAATTACAACTGGCTCTACATGAAACCGCTGCTTTCTTTTACCGGTTCCTAATTTCGTGATATTTCATAGTTCTCTTATGACCATAAAGGTAAGGTACCATAACTACACAGTAATGAAGTGGGGGGATTGTCTTAGCCAGGCATCAGATGAGCGGGTCTAGTTGATCTCATACCAAAAGGAATAGAGAGGTCATCGACGCTGTACGAGGATGCGACATCGGATGGTAGATGCTCCAACCCTTTGATTTGGCTCACTTCCATACAGCTGGTGATCCGGCTTCTTCGGTTTGACGCATTATGTCACCTCGGTAACTACGTGCCTCCTCTCTTCTCGGTAATTTCTCTGCACAATATTCGTTCTTCCTGACTACGACCAGTTCAATGAGCTGGCACGTTTTAATCGTGCTTACCCCTTGAACCTTTGGAAACGCCTTTTTTTTGAGGGCAAAAATCTATTCAGAGCAGGCTTTGAGGGCTACTTCCAACACCACATATTTCTCCAAGTCTGGTTCACTTCATCTGGTCCACCAGTGATTTTGCAAGCTTTTCCGTAACATGTGAGCCTCACTGTTACATGAACTGATGGAAACGTTTGCATTGAACAACGATGAGTTATGTAATCACATACCTTTTCCGTCAGCAAAACCAAAGTGGGTCGTCAGGTCCACTAATCTTTAGCTTTGAGAGATGAAGGGATCCAAAACGATCAATCGACTTCGTTCCACTACACCTTATGCTGGTGAAGATTTGAGCCAGTTCAGATAGATAGCCCACATCTGATAATAACAGGGTAGTGATTGTTATGCCAGAATAGCAGCACTGTGAAGTAACTGCTTATGGACCAGTCTAAATCGGCCTGATCGACAAAAATGAAATGGAATTGATATTCTGGCGCTCTCCTTCTGGATTACTTGTTATATAAAAAGTAGGAAGCACTTCGAGTACTTAAGCTCCACGTCACCACTACTATGAACACACCAAGTATAAATGGTCAATGTCTAGATTATAAACAACAACAAAGCAGACAAACTGACACTGATGACAAGTTCCCAACATGACCTGGGATTACTGGTCCCTCTTATCCCTCATTTATGAGGAAAAACAAATCAACATTCTGCTGATGTTGTAGTGAATCAGTGTTGAAAGAACAAGGAATGAGGAAACGGAAGCACGCATTGTTGTTCCGCGCCAGGAATCGATGTCCAGATTAGACACTGAACGTATGTTCGAAACGCTTGCTCCCAATCTTACTTTACAAACGACCTGCCCTGTAGTCCTATTCTATTAATAGGACAGATTTAGTTTGAACACATGCTGTTTCCTACCCTCTTAGAGTTGTTGTGATTTGAGGAGACGACTAAATTGTTCGAGAGAAAGTGCAGTGGAGTAGAACAATCAAAGGCGAAGTGAGTGAAAACAACGAAAGGGAGCTCAAAGCAAAGTAGCCACACTTTGTCAGAGGAGCCATAGTATTGTATTTCTTTTAGCAAAGATGTTTTCTAACTATACACAAGGAGAAAAACCTGTAATAGCTGCTGTTCAAAGAATCTGTCTGTTGTGAACTGTAAATGGCGTGTTGCCCAAGCAAGTCATCAATGATTAATGAACGTCCAATCAATGTGCCGCAAACTGTGATTTTTACATCTGAAACCGGTCATACCTATCAGATTATGGTACGTTCGTTTCTCCATACAGGACCGAACAAAATCCCTCAAACAAAAACTAAGCTTGCTCTGCCTCTACCACATCTACACTATAGCAAACAACTGAACTTACTAACAACAGAGAAGGAAATTCCGAGACAAGAAGTGTACCGGATGACTGTAACGGAGAAAGTTATAGGAACTATGTAGCTACAAAGCCGTCCCTCAAAAGAGGCAGCTCTGGATTTGTGGCAGACATTTCGAGAATGTCGTGACGTAGCAAAAGAAAACGGGTTTTCATAGAACCTCGATATAAAACTGAAATCTCCTGTCATGTCGTCATCAATTTGAAACCATTTTTTGCAAGACCTCTCTGTGAACCAGACATCGATCGCTACAGTTTAGTTTTAATAGAACTGGAACACTGAGAGAGGATCCCATTATTAATATATTTATTTATTAGTTTTATTAGGAGTTTTATTAGAACTGGAGGATCCTTAATACATATGAACCACAAACGCCCGTCTATTTGTCGGTTAGACGGTTTGTCGGTATGTCGTTTGTTGGTTTGTCGGTTTGTCTGTTGGTCAGTTTGTCTGTTTGTAATCGTCTTCCTGGATGTAATCTCTACGCCTTCTGGAAATCGAATTGGACAAGCTCAGTCGGAACAAGTGGGGAATCAGCCGAGCTACTTGAGAAACGTGATTCAAGCTGCGCTTTCGCCAATGGGAGGCAGGGCGCGCGCGAATTCAACTGTAATACTAGGATATCCGGAATGGTTTGATAAAATTTAGTCCGTTTTTCAACACAAATAACTTCAGCAATGAACTCAAATCAGTGATCAAGATAGTTATCCCTCTTAGCCACAATGTCTGTCCATCAACTGGAGAGGGCAACGATATCATTCCTACAAAATGAAGAGAGGCGCAACGCAATCATTCATTTACCATTTACTTGACTTCTCGACAGTTGGAGAATTTTTTCCGTTTGAAGCTGACCTATGGGCTTCTGAAAGTATGGCAGTCATAAGGGTTGAGGTCAGATGAAAATGTAGGAGACGGGGGTGTAGGGTTACACCATGCCTTTCCAGCTCATCCGTCGACTTTCTTGCTTGGGATGATCGAGCATTACCCATCACAACCGAAAATTCGCTTGTAATCGGCGTGGAATGGGGCCTCGTAACACCATCTCTCTCAGTGTTAATAGAATACTCTTGCGTTTACCACACCACGATCTGGTAGAATCTCGTATAAAACACCCGGTTGAGTTTTGGCGTGAGCCCCTAGCTTTGAAGCAAGCTCTGTCCACACTTTCACTGGTAGGCATTGCGATTTCCTCTGTAAATTTTTATATGACATCTACTTTTTATGCTGGGCAATAATGAATCGATTGATGCCGTCGTTCACTCACAGTCGCAGAACTTCTGATAAACACTGACTCGCACTCGTGCTCCTACTCAGTCAAGGAGTGTGCAAATATGCTAAGAGTCCTGCTTTGAAAGTGACTTTCGTAGAACGATGACGAATCGGGGAAAAGGGATAGTCATTTCCATTTCATGAGTCTTTAAGGAGGATTGTCCTGGCGGGAGGCCATACCAATGTCGATATTTGAAGACAATAGACGTACGCTTCTACGAACTTCGTCGGAGCAAATCTCTCCGCAGAGAAGGCGATCGTGCCTGCGTGCTGAATAGGTGACAAGACAGAGTGCACTGCTACTGTTCAGCCACAATGTTTCATTCCAAGCCTGAGTGTTGAAGCGATCAATTTCGTAATGGAGAAGCAGAAGGTTTCGGTAGTCTTATCGATTTTACAGGGTGCGGCAAAAGTTCTGGCAATGGTAAATATGATCGTAAAAACGGTCAAATCGATCGATACATGATACTACACCAACAGCATTTATCAACAGCTATATAGATCACAAAAGAACCTAGATCACGAAATGGTCTCCTTTTGCGCGAATACAGGCTGAAATTCTCCTGGGAGATGTGTCGACGGCGGCACGGAGGTAGCCTTCGTCCGAATCCTCCCATGCTCCGATGGGTGTTGCACGTGGAGCATCCAAACTTCTATGCTTAGTAGAGCAGGCTTTCATCTTAAGAAATGACCACACGGAATGGTCCAATGGATTTGAGGCTGGACTGTTTAGGGGCCAATCGTCCGACGAGATGAGGTCTGGGAAGTGCGCTCCGCACCAGTCCTGTACCTCTTCGGACTTGTGTGCTGATAAGTCCATGTCCTATTGCCGTAAGGAATTTTGCTCAGGGGAGTACCTCCTTCTCCAACACGCCTTTTAAGTAGGTCTTGCTATCCACCCTGACCCCTTTCTCCAAGAAAATCGGGAGCATCTTGCTGGCCGATGTGATTGCCACAAAACCATCAAGACTTGTGGTGTACAGATCGCTGAGCAATCCCTCCATGTCGGCTGGCTTCTGCAAGGCTTCCCGCTATCACCCCATCTTTTTGTATGTTCAGGAATTGATCTGTTGAGAACAGGCATTCGTCAGTGAAAAGGATGGTGCTGTACCCTGCTTACGAAAATCGCTTTAAAATCTCCTTACATCTTTCTAGCCTAGTTTTCTTCACACGCTCAGTCAGCATGTGAGCTTTTCTGATCTTATAAGAGCAAGGTCGAAGGTGGCTGGTGACAATCCTTCCAACAGAACGAGCAGAAATACCCACCTCAAAAGCCATTTTTTTCTCGGACCTGCAAGGATGGCGGCGGATTTCCTCTCGAATGACTTTCACGATCTCCTTTGTTGTTGCACTCTTCGGTCTTCCACTTCTAGGCTTGTCCTCCATAGTTTCTGTCGCCTTGTACCTATTGATGTTGTTGTACACGGTTCTTAAGGAAATCTAGAGCTGCTTGAAGATGGTCTTTGTGGTGCATCCAGTCAGATGGAGGTGCAGGATGGAGGCTTGTTGGTCTTTGCTCGTCACCATTCTGTATATTGAAATATTCAAGAACGGCTCGTTCATGGAATGTATAGAAGAGGATCTGCAGTGAATAGTGGCACAGATCCTCATTTTTTATAGAGAACCTGAAACGGCTTTTGCCAGAACTTTCGCCGCACCCTGTACATCGTTCGGTAAACGATTACTTGGCTCCCAACGACCACGTCAAATATCAACTAGCTATTGCATCGATATATCAACAATGCTCTTTCCCTCTATCCATTTTGTAGTCCTTCTTCAGCGCGTTCGCGAGCAACATGCTATCAAAGTTGAGAAGCATGATTTTCCCGAAACTTTCCGGACCCCTTAATATATAACTCTTGTTCTTGTGGGCATAGAGTGTTCAAATTTGGCAGGCACACAAGTGGCAGGATGGGGACAACAACGGCAGGTGAAAGATGCAGAATCCGCTCATGGGGGGCGGAGAGTGCGTGGAAATATTTAATCTGGACCCGGGAGTTCAAACTCAGTAGGGGTGCTCGTGGCAGTTCGTGAACACTAATGGTATTAATGGTAAGCGATAATGACAATCGAGGAGGGGATATGCCTGCTTCGACGGGTACAGATAAATTATAGAAGTGCAAACAAATTCTCATTTTATTTGCGGCGGAGTACAGGTATCTTTTAATGGTATGGAGGTGAGCAAGAAAACTCACCCACGGTTTCAAGACCATTCCCTGATTTTTAGAATTGTCTCGGTTAATATATGGAGAACTTCGTCCACTTCGAGAACGCATGGCTAGCGGCCGAAGTCAACCTAGTCCCTACGTCAGAGTCTGGCACGCCGCACGGGTTGGGTACCCATTTTCCAAAATTAGTAATATGAATTCCTTATTCCCCTGAACCTGAAGGAGCCCCCTATACGGCAGCGTTGGGCAAGACAGCTCAGAAAACTTAAATACCGATCTGTACCTCTTACGGACGGACGCTTGCATCGGACGCGTGTATATAAGACCTGATGATGCAAGCTAGAAAGATCAAGACGAAGTCATCGGACTGACCCAAACGAGAAGGCAACGCCCGCTGCATGCCGTATTCAAGACTGGAGAAAATTTGTTCCTCGGAACATGCGACAGCAGAGGAGTCGGCGGCGTAGGTGTCCTCGTCAATACGTACTTGGCCATGCACATCGATTTGTAATAAAGCTTGGCAACCCGAATCGGAAGTTTGCGGGTAAGAAGATGTGGCTCAACCCCAGCTCCAACAATCTCAGTTGTCTATGCGTTGGAAGCGTTTTATATGGATCTGGAGAGATTTACAGAAAAGACCTTACTTTCTTCAAAGTCATCGTCGATGCTTTCAACGCCAAGATGGCCCAGAAGAACGGCTGAAGAACTTCACATCGGGACTCACGGAATGGAATGGAATGAGCAGAGTGAAGGGCTGTCCGAATTTATCATGTCGACCAGCACAATCCATAGTAACTCGCATTTCCAGAAAGCCTCTCATTTGCGATGAACATAACCATCATTATCAGGATTGGCAGAATATTAGGTAAAGGACAGCATGCGTGTAAGCAAGGCTTGGCAGGGGAGGGTTCAGTACAATCGGTCATATCTACTACACTCTTACAAGACTAATTGAAGTATCGCGAGAGTGCAGAATGCCGTTATGCTTAACTTCCATCGATTTGAAGAGAGCCTTTGATACCAACGAGATAGAAGCGGTAATTGAAGGCCTGGACCACTAGGGTATTCCTACTCAACATATAAGGATGCTCCGTGGGCTCTACAACGACCAATATCTCGCCATTCTATAGAGAAGTCATCATCAACGTGAAGCCAGGGGTTCGACAGAGCAATACCATCTCGCCCAAACTTTAAATTATGGCTTTCGAGAACATCATGCGTCGTTTGGAATGGGAAGAGTTGGAAATGAAGTCGGTGACCGCTATTCACATCACCTCCACTTTGCAGACGACATCATGTATGTAACACCGATCATCAGCAGGTAGATTGCTGGCCGAATTTGACAGTGCTTGTTTAAGGATAGGCTTGAAACTGAACTCAACGAAGACGATGTTCATGAGAAACGGATTGGTACCTGCTGCTTCCTTTACGCTAAAGGGGAAGAGTATCTCTGAACGCTCTACCTCCGTGTAAGTAGGTCGAGAAGTCAACATGATGAACGACTTAGCTATGGAGCTAAGCAGAAGGAAAGGCGCCGCGAGGGGACCATTTAGGAACATCGAGGGATCAGTGAAGAAGAGAAGGAACACCTGACTTCGCGCCCACATTTTGACAGTGCTGCCCTTCCTGCTTTGACGTACGAAGATCAGGGATGCCGTTGATTACGCCAAGAAATCGAGGATCAGGTGGGCCGAACACGTTATGCGATGCAGTGATGACCGTTGGACCAGAACGGTTACTGACTGGATCCCTCGTGACATCAAACGAACTTCAGGACGGCCGCCAACGAGATGATCAGACTTCTCCACGAAAGCTCCGAACGAAAAGAACGTTGGATCTCGTGTCCCTGAACCGAAGAGATTGGCTAGACCACTCTGGCTTGTGACAGGACGAATGGAGACGTTACTGGCGCGCGGCTCGAATTCGATGATTAACGGACAACAGGTTGTACAGTTGGAGAAATAAATGAATGTAGACGGTCGTCAAATGCAGTATGCCGAACTGTGCGCTCTCGATGAACGACTTATGATGTTATCAGTGGGGATGGCAGAACGGTTCTTTCCATTTTCGGGAGAGGGTGTATACTGTGTTGCTGGGACGATTACGCTTCAGGTTACTTTCGAGGAAATTCATTTGTTAGAAGCCATGAGACGCGCACGGTATCTTGCGCAGACCAACTGGTATGAGTAAAATGAGGATGGCGTATTGATTCCATGTGTCTTAAGCTCCAGCCTCGCGCCCAGCCAGACCACCCATCTTGTAAGGCCACCCAGATTTTCATTAAACGGCTCACACGCCTAATAGAAAATGTTCAAGTGCTCAACGGCTTGCTCCTTAGAACTTCTTCATGGCAATAAAACTATCTTGAGAAAACATAGGATAGGATTGTTCCAAATCTGTTAAGATTACTGATTAACCTCAAAAACTTGGGCTCCCACCGGTGCATCAAATGAGATGTCCAGCTGATGATATAAGCAAGAAGTTCTGATAGATTCTGCAAAGTCGACAAGCGAAAATTCTTCAGATAATTCAAAATAGGTCTGATCCTAAGGTGGAAACAAAAAGTTCATCACGGAGCTTATCAGGAAGCTCAGTTCTCTCCACAGCTCAAAAACCGGGCAATGACATCTGTCCCTTTTTTTGCTCACGCTTGTTGGCGATTTAATGGAACTCATGTCTCACATGGGTAGAGTTCTAATTTTGACCAACTCAGACTATCACCTTGTTCGACTGGATACGCAAGCGATGGTGGGTGCAATGAACTTCATCCGAGGTGGGTCTGAATATGGTCAGAAGCTTTAAGATGATTATGTGAAAATGTTGACCAACTGAATGAAGTCACACGAAACAATACACTGAAACGATGCTGAGAACGACTGTCAACAGCCGACTAACTGTAAGGTGCACATCGCACTAGGTCATCGCAGACGCCCATATGCATCACGATTCCGACCTACTCTCTGATCTTATCATTGTTGGCAAAGCCGAAAACATGGTCTACGCCAACTTGTGGAAAAGTGATAGAGGTGCAGGGCATTCACAAAGCAAAGTATTTTCGGTATCAACTCGTCGGGGAGGATATGAAGTCTTGACTCTTATTACACTAGTTCGACTCATTGTAAAGACTACATGAGCATTCATAATGTAAACCATTCTGAATGTAAGTTGAAACCTGAAACACATACCAAGAAGGATTGTTCAACATCAAAAGTATAGGCCTGAGTTTTCCTCATGCTTTCTGTGAAGGATATTTTGGAGGAGTGCCAAGGGATTAATGTCATCTGAACAACTTGGTCCAGACTATTTAACTGAATTTTTTTGTCGGTGATAATATTCACAAATAAAGTTCGCCGGTCTACTAGAGTCACTAGCTGTAACATGTGAAAGGTAAAATGACCATTGTATATAAACTTCAGGAATTAGATGCAACGGAACAGAGTTGTATCAAAAAAATGAACAGCATCAATGAGTTTCTTGTGACGTTACTGCGTGTAAATACCGCGTAAATCATAGGCCTCCAGCTTCTATTATCGGGATGTTTTTTTGTGAATCGTGATTTAGTTGGGAGAGTTAAGGCAATATTACAGTCTTCGCCATAACCACAGCTAAACGGTTTTTTCTTTATCATTTATTTAATTAATATCCCATAAAAAGATCCACCGAATGTTGCACACCCGCCGAGGAACAAGCGCTTTCAATGCAACCCAAGATAGGCAGTTGTTCCGGCGAGTAGGTGAGTCAACTACGTACTCAAAAAGAAAGTTGCATGCAATGTGCTGGAATAACGTTTACAAGTGAAGGGCTATAAAACACGGTTCTGCGTTCGAGCCTGAGTTCAGCCAACCGATCCATATGTAATTGCACCAACGAGAGTCAACTGGCGTCCACCAAACAATAAGCAGGCGTGTAGATCGTACTCCGTAACCTTTGTAGCTCACAGAATGCTATTACAACTGGGTAATGCAAAAGTTTGTTCGAAAATCAACCATTCAAGAATGGTGATTTCACCTGTTCCGTAACCTTTCTTTCACGTTTTGGTAGAACCACTTTCACTCACAATACCTTAATGCTTCGCGTTTCGGCAAGAACCCCTTCTTTAGAGCCTGAACATGAAATCGAACCTATTAAAATACCAGATCAAATATTCAACGCCCCACAATATCTCGAGTCCTAATCATCGCCCAGTCCTGAGTAGTTTCACATTTCCTAAGCTGTTCCAAACGTTTCACAGAAATGGTTGTAATCTATTTTGGCAGTTAAATTTTGAATTTATAATCCAAGTGCTACGCCTGGTCCTAAGGACCGGCTAGAGCCGACGTAGGGAATAAAAGGATATGGTAGAGCCCTCGAGAAATGAGAAGAAATTTTGAAAATAAATAGTTCATACCAAGAACATATGGTTAGGGGTGGGTTAACATTGATTTGTGCGGTAGGCAACTAAGAATCAGTCACCAGTCTTGCTGAAATGTAGCGAGAATATAACTGCTGTAACTGTTACTTACATCGTTGTGCGAGAGTCCATTGTTACTGCTCAAAAAAGAAGCCCCAATTCGGGCCTAGGAGATCAAGCTGAAACCCTACCATTCTGTGGAGGGAATGTCACGTCTGCCAGTAACACCGCATCGACTTGCAGAAGGTATCCTGTATCTTCTGTTGTCCTGTTGATCACTGATTTGCTCAAGCGGGCACCAATAATGTATCCATTTGTGCCATGCGAGGTATAGTAGTCAGTGGATCTTCCTCGCTCAAAGGATTCTAAGCATAGCATTCCTTTCTTTCAGAGCTTTTGTAAAAAAGCATAAAAAAGCACGGCCATCCCACTAGCGGTCATTCTGGTGGTGGAGGTATCCAATCACAAATTGGAACTCCGGATTTTTCTCTGCACTTGCGTGAACGGAAGAATTCCGAGCACCATCCTTCTCACAGCGCGTTGAAAGAGGTTGACTGGACGCTCATCCTGCTCTAGTAAGACCCAAGTTTCCGAAAGCAGGAAGGACTGCAGTGCTGAAGTGGTGAGTGCGGAACCGAATGTTCATCATCTTCTTCTCTACACTACTCACTTCATACTCAATAACGAGGGAGATTAAAGAGGTGAAGAGGCGTTTCTGACCAATGAGAAGCTGCATTCATTTCAATGATAGAAAACTGGAACTTACCCTTCTTGGTATATCCTAGGACTCGAATGCCTTTTGGTAACAGTTGACGAATTCCCGATGTCGGTGAAAAGAACTTGTTCGGTCGCAATCGTAATCAGTTCTGCACTACATCAATGCGCCACCATTTTGTAGGCATCTTCCTCTCTATACTGCTTTCTTCAACTGCTCGAAGAAGTGCATAAAACTCACTTGAAGTCAGGTCTGGATTGTGTGATAAATCCTCAACCACTCTGCATCCCATCTACTTTATTGTGACAGTTTGGCAGAACGTCGATGAGCTTTATATTGCTGCAAGAGACACGGCTCCGCACTTAAACACGGCGTTTGGTCTGATTTCGGTTTTCATTTTCGTACGCAAAGGATCATGTATAGCGACTGCACTCATTCGAAGCTGGATTTCAAACCTTTGAGAAAGAGGTTGCAGACATCGCTCCCTCTCAGGATTTTTTCTCACTTGATCTTCGATTGAATTTTAACTGCAGTACTTGCAAAGAAGGTAAATCGAGTTCTCCATACAACCTAACATGAAAGTTCAAGCAGTCTATGAAAATTTGTTACAGAATCAACAAGCCAGGTACGAATCCGCTACGTCTTCCTGTAAATTTATGGCAGTTTCAGCTAAATTTGTGAACATCTTCAAAAGTTTTTTTTCCAAAATCACTGGAAGTGATTTTCTCGCAGATTGGTTTTCATTGCAAGTGGCATCCCTATGTACTCTACTGAAGAATTCCTGAACTATTTTCTTTGAAGTTTCGGTTATCCTTAGAATCACTCCTCTGGGACTACATGAACATAAAATTACAGCAGTACTTCAACCGTTTCCGCGTCCATCTAAATTGGCAAAACATTGCTAAGATCGCTGCCTCTCTCTATCAAGCAGCAGAAGCGACTAATTAATTTTTGGCTCAACTTATTCCAGGGCAGTTAGGCTGGAATCCAATTGTAAGCCAAAATGATATTAGTCTTTTCATGAGTTTTTCAAGCTCTGATCAAGCAATATATCAAGTCGAACAGCTTGAAAATGCGCTCAATCCTGTTGAAGGGTGAAAATGCAACCCTCTTCATGTTTCACAAGAATTTTCGAAGTCTTTGTCGGTTGCGGTGGCAAAGCCTGCAAAAGGGTGGTTTGTGCGGAAAAGCAGCAACAATCCTGTATACTGCTTCAAGTGCTTCATTTTTTCTTCAGAAATTAGAGATTTTAGGACATTCGCTGTATTTATGCGATTTATTTGTTGAATAAATACAGGAAAGCGCCAGTTCAAGATAGTGCTTTCACACCATAACAATTTTCTGAAACTTTATTATGTACACCACTATAATTGCACTCTATTATAAATAAATTATAATTCTATCATAATTTGCAGAAGTGAATCATTTGCGCTTCATGAGGTCCGAGCATTGGATCATACAAGACGTGTCCTGAAAAATATTCCCTAGCAGTCACTTCCTCAACCATCTTAACCATTTATTCGATACTTTTTGTAAACCTGTAGGCCTGCAGGCCCATCAGTGCGCAAACTGAATCACTCTTGATAATATAAGTAAGTATAGCATGGGAGCTGTAGAAGGATGTCAAAGAAAGTGAAGTACCTTTCAATCTTCAACTAATAATTCATGCCTTGATTGAATATACATTGCTTACCACTATTTGGAAGAAGTACGTCGTGAACAGGCTTCATGACGTGCCTGCGTCAATCATTTAAGGCCCAGTTCACGGGAAAAATGGTCCCTAATACATATATTCCTCTGGGGTGAATCTGTGGCAATCCAGGCATGCCTTCTGTAGCCAGTCAGATTGAAAATCGTCTTGACTGGGGCGTAATAAGGCCCAGAAATCGCACCCACTGTACGCCAAACACCGAAATGGAAGTGTTACAAAAATTTAGATTAGATCACCATTGACAATGGACCATATGTGAAAAATCAAACAAATAGTCGTGACCCTTAGCGTCAGTGCAACTAGATTTTCGTGATTTCCGGCATACCGTAGCCAGCCCTACGCAATAGCTCACTATGACACTCGCCTAAAACCCTCGATTGTCGTCACTGACTGCTTCCATAATCCGCCGGCCGACCGCCAGCGCCCGCGCCGGCCGGGGACTACTCGGCGTGGGGTACCCAGTTGTAAACAATTGGCAAGCGCTGCTCCCGCCCCGAGCGCGCCGGCCGGCGGACTATGAAGCAGCCACTATCTCTACGTCTCTATCCGATTTTACTTTTTCAAAGGCTCTCTTCCTATATTTGCCTATTTTCGCACTTTTTACTATGTAGAATGGTGCTACTTTAGCACCATCCTACATAGTAACTTCCAAATTTCGCCTTAACTAGGTATCATCTCGAAATTGTGTTTTTAACATGACTACATATGTAGGTGATGCTACCAGGAAGCTCTCCGAAAGTAATGTAGGAATTAGGCTAGTATCCAGAAATGCCCTTTTGACTATTTTTTTTTGTTTCAGACGCTGCACTTTCAAAATCGACGATGGCTACCATAAAAGACATGTGTATGGTTTCCAGCCCTCGGGAAAACTCAGTGCGAGTAGCAACAGACTATCTTTTTTCTTGTATAGATCATCATCATCCATTCGGATGTCGCCATCTAAGCGTAAATGTGAAAGCGCTGAACAGTCGCACTTTTCATATCTAAATCGTGCCGTCATTCGTCTTTTATGTCATCATCAAGGGTGATTCGAGAGTTATACAAGTCTATCTGTAACTGCTCGTGGTTTTTTCATATGCATTGCATTGCTACTAAGCACCTCTTTACTTCATAACAAACAGAACCAACCTTTGAGATATCACTGAGCAAGTATTTGTGCGAAAGTTTCACACAACTATCCACTGTAGCGGGATGGCATGCCACCTGAATAAACGAGGATAAAATTGAAACTAGCAAACCAGTAACAGGACAATAGCTACTGCTATAACCGTTGAATGAGCTTTCAAGTGAAACTTTTTGATTAAACTATAGGCTCGTCGGATATCCTCATATTGTTATCATAAGAACGGTAGGATACCGCAAAAAAAAAACCGAAAAATCTCTGGTCCAAGATGTTATTATTAGCCTATGACAATTTGGTATTCATGTAGCTGTATAATGTATTATATAAGAAAGCTGAACAACCGTGGTCGGGATCCTGCAAACGGCTGTGATTGCAGGTAATTTATTTTGCTTTTACGCAGATCCTGATGTCATTGTCAAAGAACTGCTCCCGCCCATGCCAAAATGTATGTGACAGCGCTAAAAGAGCCATCAGTAGCAGCGCAAAGAACAGTGGATCATATGGTGCTGATGGGTGCGCTTCGTTGCGCGTGTCCGTCGAAACTAGGTCACGCCGCAGCCGTCGCACGCGGCGAGTCGGCCCGCGATATTTGACAGAAGTCGCAATTGTCACTGGGGCATGCGCTTTGCGTTTGGTTCACGGCAGTCAGTCCAAGAAGAAGATAACACAGACAAATGCAAATCATTTGCTCCAATGACACTTGGTGGTACTGTAATGTCATCTCGAGACCTCAGTGGAGTGCGCCGCGCGCGGAGTGGGCGGGGTGACCTACTTTCGACGGACACGCGCAACGGACGTTCTCCGGTGCTGATATCGCAACATGCTACAGCTACATAATTGGCTAGATCTATGATGGGGCGAAAGGAGGAGCTCAAGTATCCTGTTGTGAGGAAATTATTAACCCGCTAGTTGCCAAATGGCCTCAGACTACTGTCGAGCTGGAAAGGGGGCAGGGAGACCAAAGCTTCGCCGTCGCCCGGTTTCTTGAGTTTGAAGCGCGAATTTTCGAATTCAGGGAGGTAATGAGGCGTTGAGACCAAGTTAATAGCTTCTAGATATCCCTGTTGTTGTATGCAGACCTTCAGAGGTACTCACAAATAAAAAGCACGACAAAAATCTAATTTCCCACTTCCTTCGCGGTGCAAGGTGGGCGAGCCTCCTTCTGAAATACGATAAGCTCTGAGTATCACCAAGTTTAGAAGTAGATTGGAAAGAGTAGGAACTCATCTCAGAGTACTAATCAGAAATTCGGCTCTCGATTCCTCATATAATGCACCCTCGTCCGGAAGCAAGATATCGTCAGTATTATAAGCCATCGATCAAAGCTAATGTGCCTAAACCTCATCAGAACTTGTAGAATACATCCAGTCGAGGGGACAAAGCTGCTATCCTACTTATATAATCCGCCAAGTGTGTCTGTTTGTGTGTGTGTGCCTGGTCGGAGATTCACAACTCCGTAGACCTGAAGCGTTCGAATTTGGTAGAAGTACTAGAGATAGGATTGGAACGGTTATGGTGGGCGGGAGGACCGGATTCCGTCCACAGTGGTAGGAGTACAGATGGCAGAATTGGCAGGATGGGAACACTAATGGTGGGTGGCAGAACTCAGCTCAGCTTCAGGCGGTGCGCGCGTGAAAATTGGCAGTTTGGACCTGTGGCACTCAAATTCGGATTGAGTGCAGGTTGCATATTTAAGACACCGACTGTAGGAAGTTGAAAGCAACTGAACCAAATCCAGCCCGCGGAGGAACAGGAGGGATGTAGGGGGTGGACCATGCGTGAAATGAGCGTACTTCGAAAGAGGACACGCAGTCAAGTTGGAACAGAGGGAGTGGATCCAACGCATAACACACATGTGTGTGCGTAGGTGTTGGGAAACAACAACCCCAAACAATAACAACAGTTTTCTTGGACGAAAGATTTTATTCTTGGGGAGTGCCGGTGGCAGGTCAACTTCGACACAAAAAGGAGGAGATTTCGGCGATACCCGGGCGATCCGTCTGGAATGTACACAACTCGCTAANTGAGTTTCAAAAATGTTCTTGCGAAGGGCTGCGCCAGACGACATAGTTGAGCACGACATAATCAATCGCGAAGGCCGTCAGCAGCGGTGCGGCCTGCCCAGTGTTGCCAACGGATGATGTCCAGCGTTTTCAGCGGGTGACCAGCAACGTATCGCGCTCAACGCTCATCGCTGATCTATGTAAGCGGCAAAAAATTACGCTCATGGTGAAGATGTCGCAATGGCCTTTAGACGCCATTCATTTTGAGGGTATACAATAAACCAAACTTATTTCGAGAGAACTAAGCAGAGTGAGTAATAACTCACGCCTGCCTAGTTCGTTGATGAGATGGAACAAAAAAAAACTTCCGTTTTCCAACTGAAGAACCTTGAAATGGAGCCAGGCAGCCTGTCATCAATGATTTTTGAACTGAATGGACTGATTCACTCATAAGGAAATCACCTTATCACTATGGTTCTAAAATGATCTCTGCGCCTAAAAATTTTCTGCAGGGGCTACCCAGCGAATGAAAATCTAGAATTGCAACATGGTGAAATCAGGGACTTCTACAGACACCTGATGATTTCTCAATGTGTTAAGCTGAATGAAGCTCAATGAACTGACCCCATCGTGTGTACACGTACACGTAACACACGGCGTAATATGCATTGAGGTGCCCATCTGTATCGTTCGACCATTCATTTCGCAGTGCTCTGAAAACGACTTCCGTCTGGTCAAAAAACTTCACTGAAGAGCAGCCTTAGAAATCTTTATCCTTTACTTCGATCTTTCCAATGACTGAGATCTATTTGCGGAATGTCTTCGCATGGCACTTGCGCATTTCTGAAAGTGAAATAAAGGAGTTTAAAATATTGTGAGAGAGAAGATCCGATTAGCACTGTTGTTGCTTTGAGGACGATGCTCTCGATTTGTTACTATTTGGTTAGTACGAATAAAGGTCGTATTATGAGTAGGTCCGTTTCTTGTTTGTGAGGTCGAATGTACCTTCACTATACATAGCTCATCCAACTTTCAAGGATGGAAAGGCTTCCCAGAACAGCTTGAGTATGGGGCATATCCCATGATTGCAGAGATATTTTGCTAAAGTCTGTGAAGATGGAAGATTACGATGATTCAACGATGGAATCGATAAGCGACCGCGGACTACAGTCAGTAGCGTACTTCGCAGGGGTTTTGGAGCCATTGAAGTGAACGTTTCCTCTGTTGCACAGCTCTAAGTACGAGTACGCGGCATAGCTAAGTGGAATGAAAACCTCTTATATCTCTATTGCAAACTACATAGCGGTTTTGTTTCACTTCTCAAAACAAATACTATAAATGGTACACAGATTAACTTTTGATGAGTACTCAGTTCTGATCCCATTTTCAACCTCACTCTCTTATTGACCTGTGTTGCGGCGGATCGCGATTACCGTGAGGGGGAAGGGGCAGGTGCACAAGGGCAAACGGGGGCCACCGCTTTGAGGGCGACTGCATTGGAAATTACCCTAAAATTCCATAGATAAGAGCGGGTGAACCTACCGGTGAAAAATAAATTGGAAAAAATCGAAATTGAATGCAGCCACCCCTCTAACTTGATGGATTGATAAATTAAACTTCGAAGAAGAAGTTAAGAAGAAGCTCCGCCCCTCAACTCTAAACCCCGCCCACTTAATAAACAATTCATACAAAAAAACAGCGATCCGTAAAAATCGCTATTTTTCTATATGAATTGTTTATTAAGTGGGCGGAGTTTAGAGTTGAGGGGCAGAGCTTCCTCTTTACTTCTTCTTCGAAGTTTAATTTATCCATCCATCAAGTTAGAGGGGTGACTGCATTCAATTTCGATTTTTTCCAATTCATTTTTCACCGGTAGGTTCACCCGCTCTTATCTATGGAATTTTAGGGTATTCCAGGACTATTTGCTATAGTGTTCGGCATTCCTCTGCCATTCCGACGAGCAAATGGCTCTTCTTCTTTTTCCTTCGCTGATCCCATAAACTGCACGTCGTCAAGGGCAGGGGAGATCGGCTAATGAAGACACCGAGTTGAGCATAAAGCAAACATTGCAAAGACATAGGTTATCATAGAGGGATGAGCTATGCACCATTGAATAGCATTTGTTGTGGGAATTAAACAGTATATAACGCAGCTGTGTATTCTGATTTGGTGAAAAAAAAGAAAAACTGTTCATTACACTAAGGTGTGCTTTCTTTGGAACTGGTTCTCAGAGCCGTGCAATAGAGGAAACGTTTAACTTTCCTGGTGGCGAATCCCACAGGAGGGCCGTGATCCGCAATCATTTGTCGATCCCATTGGCATTTTCTTAGACAAAACTTTCTCCCGAACATATGAGTGGGTCTTGAAGCTTGCCTAGATTTAAAGAGTCAATAGTTTCCAACTTCTCTCTTGCTTTAACCTCGGCATAGTTGTTTATGATTAAAATAATTTTGTGCCGTACGAGGTTGTTAGGTGGAACAGTTTATTAGTCAACGGCCTAACGTTTCGACGCAATCGTCTTCTTCAGAGGCCTAAATGCAACTCGAGATGATTTGCACAATATCCAAGAAGCGCGTTATCTTCC